TTCCTCAGTCCGGATCTCCAGGTGAGCTGACAGCCCCTTCCTCAGTCCGGATCTCCAGGTGAGCTGACAGCCCCTTCCTCAGTCCGGATCTCCAGTTGAGCTGACAGCCCCTTCCTCAGTCCGGATCTCCAGGTGAGCGGACAGCCCCTTCCTCAGTCCAGATCTCCAGGTGAGCTGACAGCCCCTTCCTCAGTCCGGATCTCCAGGTGAGCTGTGGGCCTCTTCCTCAATCCGGATCTCCAGGTGAGCTGACAGCCTCTTCCTCAATCCGGATCTCCAGGTGAGCTGTGGGCCTCTTCCTCAATCCGGATCTCTGGGTGAGCTGTGGGCCCCTTCCTCAATCTGGATCTCCGAGTGAGCTGATGGCCCCTGCCGGCCCCTTCCTCAATCCGGATGTCTGGTGAGCTGCGGGCCCCTGTCTTTGTCCTCCCCATGGATGGTCCAGACGACCCTGGGAAGGGTCAGGCTCCCCTGGGCCCCAGAGGCAGTGCTGCCAGGCTCTGCAGTTCTAGCACAGTGTGCGCCATCCGGTCACCCCAGGTGTATGCACCCTCTGCAGACACTGCTCTCCGTTAGTGGTCTCCCCTCCCTCACTGATTCCCTCCAGGACTCCTTCCTCAGCCTGGAATCCGCCTCACTGGAGCCCCAGCTCCTGCCCTCCACAGCCCTGTCTTGTGAGTGTCCTGAACTCTCTCCAGCGAGGCCGGGCCTGGGGCTGAGCTCTTCCTTCCAAGGCACTAACCTTGGATTGCTGGGACGGAATGAGTTTGGCATAGCTGCAGGATGTCTGTTCTAACAACACGCCCCAGGCAGCTCTCCTAGGCCTGATTTCAGCAGAATTGGCCTATCCGCCCAGGAACCTGTGTGGAAGCTGAAAGCATGGCTGGGAGGGGAGGTGGATGTCAGCCCTGTGTTCCCATCTCGGCCAAATGTTGGAGCAGATCCACTCGCCGGCTCCAAAGGCGCACATGTGGAAGAGTTTCCGGAACCTCCGCAGCGCTGCCTCCACAGCTCAAGCGAGTTGTTTGTCTTAACGTCGCCGGCTGACTTTGGGCCCTGGAGTCATCTGCAGAATGCCCAGTGCACCCTCTCTAGTCCCTGCCTCCCCTTGACCATCGACTTGTCCAGTGGATGCTGGCATCAAACCAGCAGCGCCCATGACAAGGACCTGGGTTGCTGGCCGCGGAAACCTAATCAATGCGGAGAGGCTCATGAACACTCCTCCACCTCTGGGCATGCCAGGCAGAGCAGAGCAGGGGCAGTGGGCAAGGGCTGCTCGGGATGAGGCAGGGAGAGCCAGCTGCGAGCCTCCTCGGCCCAGAGCTCTCCTTTGCCGTAAGCAGCAAGAACCGGGCCCTTCAGAGGGAAGCAGACAGTCGGGGTCCAACGTGGCCCCCTAGTAAAACAGTGTTGGGGCACTCCGTACCTCAAGCGATGCCCTCTTGGGCCTTTAGCCAACCTGGGGTTCCAGAAATAGATGTGGGAGGAGGGACCCCCACTAAAGAGGTGACTTCTTGAACAAAGCATCCTCCCAAGACAGAATCCGATAACCCTTCACTCTTACTCCTGGAGGGAGAAGAGTCTCTTCTGATCAGGCCAAGGTGGCCGTAGGTTTGATGAGCTGTTGAATTACCCGCTGGAAATTAATAGCCCAGAGCCCGGCTTCTACAGCAAGGTCAGGCAGTGCTCACGGCATGGACGTGGGAGTGCGAGGGCTGGCGTGGGGTTTATGGAATGTGGGGTGCAGGAGCTTCTTATTCACTCTGTGTCTCCATTTTGTTTTTGCAGAACGGGCTTTGTTGTGGGTTGAACATGAACAGGACAGGCACAGAGTATGTGCTCTGTGTGAGTCAACATTCTGTATTTTTATCCTTCAGAGGTGGGGCTAATAGACTCTCCTTTATAAATGCGTTGATCATTTCTGCCCAGAATCTCTTCCAGCTCCTAATCACTTGGCCTGAGGCTCCACTCCTGACCCCAGAACTGTACAGGGTTCCCTCAGGGAGCAGGCTCCAGGAAAACAAACAAACAAAAACACCTTACTCTCTTTTTTTAATGGAATAAGTGAGTCACATTCTTTTCAGAAGTAACATTCCAACGTTAGTACACAGGGCGAAGTCACAAACAGCAGAGTGACCACCCGTGACACCTTCGTAGCCCTTGAAGTACAGTGACAGACACAACGCCCCTCCCTGAACCGATGGGTGGTGCTTCCTGCAGCTGGGACCAGGTTCCCGTGTCTCCAGCTGAGCCCCAGCCCTGGGAGAGGGCCTGCACTGAAGGGCCGTGTTGCATGAAAAGTGTGGTTTTTCTGTGGCACAAACACGCCCCTCGGCTCCCTGGAGTAATGAAGGGAGACCCTACATGGCAGGCAGTGACCACTAACCAGATCCACAGCTTCCAGGTCAGGCTCTGCAGGAGCCGCGGCCTCACCCGGGTCCTAGGCCTCACCCGGGTCCTAGCACCAGGGCGTCCTCACGAACGTCCTGTCTGAATAGAACAGATGCTGTTGCGGGCATGCGCTAGTCGAGAGACAGAACTGACTCAAGGTATTTCACAGGGAGGAAATGTCATGCAGAGAATTGACAGAAGGACACAAGCGCCAAACCCAAGGGCGTAGGGCAGCCCAGAGGCAGCCCAGCACAGCAGGAAGCCAGCTCCACTGCTCTTCATCTTGGGTTGGAGGAAGGAAGACGGAGGCAAAGTTGGGGCATCAGTGATGGCAGGTGCTCCCAGAGAAGCCAGACACACCGGAGCGGACGAGGCAGAGGCCGAGGCTGTGGCCTCCCATCTCTCCCGCCCTCCATGTCCTGCTGAGGCCTCCCATTGGCCAGGGCTGCTGTGGGTGGGCCTGTTCAGGTTCTTGACATCAGTGCGCAAAATAATTTGGGAGCAAGTTCAAAGTAAGAGTGGGCAAAGACTTTTATTGCAAAGCGAAAGTGCGCTCCAACAGCTGGGTCGGAGCAGGCGGCTCCGGAATGAGAGAGCCAGGCCAGCCCTGGAAACTCCTCGATGGGGGTCTCCTGTGATTGTCACTGAAGGAGCAGGATGTTATTGTGCTGTGGGTGGGCTCCTGCACCTGCACGTGCCATCGCTGTACCTGCTGGTACATATATTGCATGTCTCATTTGCGTTTTAAATCTCGGCCCAGCACTGTGCTTTTCCCTATTATGGTGAGCCAAGTTCACCATAAGAATATGGCTCTTGGCTCGGCCTTGGGAACTTTTCCTCCAACCCAGTCACTCCTTCAGCAAGGAAGTTGCCCACTGCAGGCGACCAAAGATATCTGCGCCAGCCCCTTTCCGGAGTATCTGTCACTGACCGGCCCCTGTGCTAACCTATTGGCCCCACATGGCTTGCTCTCAGCCGCCTGCAGGTCATGCCCTTTCCCTCAGTCACCGCCTGCTGGAGAACTGTTCAGAAATGGGCGATGAGGAGGCCGGGGAGTGCAGCACCCCTGGGAACAAATAGCAGCAAATCAGGGTCAGCGAGTGGGTCCAAGGGCAAAAGCAAGTGGCCCACATGTCCATGCGTCTTTGAGGTTCCTGGAAGGGAAGTTCAAATGGTTGCTGTTTTTAATACATTGCGGGGCTTGGGGGCCAATATTTTATCATGGCAAAATACACATAACGCAAATTGACTATCTGAACCATTTTTAAGTGTACAGTTCAGTGATACTAAGTACATTGCTTTTGCTGTGCAACCGTCACCACCATCCATCCCACCATCCATCCCTCCGTCCCTCCATCCATCTCTCCACCCCTCCATCCCTGCATATATCTCTCCATCCACCCCTCCATCCCTCTATCCATCTCTTCATCCATCCCTCCATCCATCCATCCCTCCATCCATCCATCCTTCCATCCATCCCTCCATCTTTCATCCCTCCATCCACCTCTCCATCCATCCCTCCATCCACCCTCCATCCATCCATCCATCCATCCCTCCATCCATCAACCCCTCCCTCCATCCTGTGGGTGGGACCCCACTGCATCTGCACCACCTCCTCCAGGTGCATTGCGCTGTGGCACGTGTTGGAACGTCCTTCCTTCTCAGGTGACTGATAAGGCAGGGGGCCCCACCTCTGTCCTTGTAGAATTTGTTTTCTATGTCCTTTTTTGCTGTCCTGGCCCCTCCTTTTCTGCATTGTCTTCTTTTGTGTTTAGTCTATTGTTTGTTTAGTGAAATGTTGAAATTCCTCTCTCATTTCCTTTTGTGTATACTCTGCAGCTATTCTCTGTGGCTGATATAATGAGGTTGCTACACTCTAACATGAATTTATCCCAGTCAAGTAAACGTCAGTAACACAAAAACCTTCATTCCTTCACATCTCCATTCCCACTTCCTTCAGTTGCTGATGTCATAGAATTATATCTTTATGTGTCATGTGTCCAAAACCAAAAACAAATAAATTTTAAATGTATTCGTCTCTTAAATTATGTAGAAAACAAAACATGGAAACACAAAACAAAGTTATAATAATACTGACAACTTTTGTAAAACACCTGGTTACTATTCAGTTGGGTTGTCTATTTCTTACTGACTTACAGGCTTTAAAAAATGTATTCTGGATATGAGTCCTTTGTCAGTTATGTGTGTATAAATAACTTCTCCTCCTGGGTGGTTTATACCTTTACTTTCTAATTTTTTTTTTTGATACAGGGTTTTACTCTGTCACCCAGGCTAAGGTGCACGGGCAAGATTGTAGCTCACTGCAGCCGTGATCACCCAAGCTCAAGTGGTCCTCCTGCCTCAGCCTCCAGAGTAGTTGGGACTACAGACACACATCACCACATCTGGCTAATTTTTAAATTTTCATTTTTGTAGCGACAGGGTCTTGCTGTGTTGCCCCGGGTGGTCTCCAACTCCTGGGCTCAAGCAGTCTTCCCACCCCAGCCTCCCAAAGTGTATAACACTTTTTAAACTTATCTCAACTGTGATAGTATAAAACATGGTTTTTTAATGACCAGAAATTCCTAATTTTAATTAAATGCAATCAAGACATTTTAACCCTTTATATCTGGTTGTTTCCTATTTAACGCCTTCCTCTGCCTTGAGGCCAAAAGATATTCCTGTGTTATCCTCTAAAAGTTGTTTCACAGTTGGACCATGCTCGACCTGGAAGTGAGCTGGGGGAGGATACGGAATGTTGGAAGATATGTGTATTTGCCTACGGAGATCCAGTGGGCATGGCAGTATGGGAAAGACCTCTGCCACCCTGCAGGGCCACCTGTGTTGTCGATGCACCTTGGTGCCCACG